GATGTGAATGTAAATGAATTGTACAAAGTTCAGACTTTGGGCCATAATATTTTGACAAACATTGATAATAATAATTGAAAAAATGATTAATATCTTGTAATTCATCTTTTTCTTGGTAAAAAAGTAATTCCCGAATGCAAACAAAATAATATAAAAAGTGTAACGCCAATTCATCGGGCAAAAATTGAATCACGAACATTGGTGAAATATATAACAATAAGTCTCTATAATTGAAAAAAGTATAGTAAGTGAAATTTTATATTAGAAATAACGGCTCCATAGAGTTATTGTCGAATAGGATTTGTTGATTAGAAGACCAAAATTAAACTCGCAACAATAATCTATACAAATCTTTCACAATTAAAGAACCTGCAAAAGTGAATTTAACTCAAAATGTTCAACTCATCAATATTACGTACACAAATTAGGATTTAGTGTTTCTTCAATATCAAGCTACACCTTAGATCTAAAAAAGATCAGATGCGGAAAAAGTACTAATCTATCTAGAATCGAGGCTTTTTTAAAGTTCATAATGCCATAATTCTGATGGTAAATAGAAAAAAATTCCTACCTGAACATCTTCGTTTTCCGCTTAGTAAATTAAACTAATGGCATAAATTGATATCCAAACGAGTGTGGTAATGTAATTGACAATAAAAAATTCGATACTTGTTCAAAAACATCTGGCAATAGTAACTGGTTCCAATAGACGATTAAAGTTTTAAAGTGGCCGCTACACACGAGATGCATATAGTCCACAGCAATTTGTGAAGGAAATAACATAATTTTTGTTAATGGAATTGGACCTTTAATACCATGTGATCGAAATCTTGGCAAATCTAACGTTGATAATCGAAGATAATCAGTATCGGTCTTTTTAATTAATGATGCTTGAGAAAATGGATAAAATATCTGCGTACCAATAGCATAGCCATGTGTTTTGCAAACTGGGCAAGCATCGTAACCATTGAATTGGATTATGTTACAATTGTGAGCAAGTGCAGGTAAATCAAATGTAATTAATTGTACTCGAATATTAAATTTTATTTTCAAATGATCATTTAATTTTAGTATAATTCCATTTTCATATAAATCCTGAATTTGATCAACAATATTATTCCATAATAATTCCATATTCGGATGAGTTCCACCTAACCAAGCACCAAATATCATGACAGCACTTTTATGATCTCTAATGGGAGGTGGGATTTCAAGAATAGTTGCTTGTATTGGCCACAATGATTTTCCACCTATTTTAGTCACAGGTGCTCCATCTGTATGTAGGGCAATAGTCGGTTGTTGTTGATTTTTGTTTTTCAAATGTTCGTAGATGAAACCATTGATTACGTCACATGGCAAAAATGTGTTTGAACATTGGTAATATTCATTGATTAAAGGATGAGGGCGGATAAGGCCATTTTTTTCGCCCCTAACAAAATTGACTTTTTTTTATCGATTTGAAGTAAGGTATGGTCCCTGATCATGTTCCTTAGGTTTATTTTCGTACAACCGACCAAAAAGTTTTTGGGACCCGTGGTCCCCCACGTGGATCTCTGAAAAACTTCTTTTTTTAATTCTATTGAAATGTATATTTGTTGGTAGAGTCAAATGTGCTGATTACGAATATCAGTATATTAAGTGTTCAAAGTCTTTTAATAGCGAAAAAAGTCAATCCTTTCTCCGGCAGCCATTCAGCTTTATATTCAGCTTCTTGCCTCTGTATCTTGTCCATTCATGATTTGAACCTCATGAAAAAAGGTTTCTGATGAATAGAACAACGTAGTCCACTTAAATATGAAATATAAAATCTCCTTCAAACCATAATCAGCTACAAAAACTAGAATTACTGACCAAAAAGGGTGTGGGTGTGGGTGTGGGTGTAAGGAAGAAGCGACACCCACCTCCACCCTCCCCCCCACCCCCACACACACACACCCACACCCGTCCCCTACACCCACACCCTCACTCTGTCAAATGGTTTATATTCTACCAAAAAAAAAAACAGAAACAAAATCTTTCTTTGATTTTTATATTATTTCAAATAAAATATACTGTATTTGAAGAGCTTTACTTCAATTACGACAATCACTTTGTACAAGCAATCCACGAAGAGTTTGACCATCAGTTATATAAAAAATCTAAAACAAAAAAATCGATTGATTTCATTCGGATAGAATAAATAAAAAGACCAACCTGTTT